TGGGTTCGGCCAACACCCCTATCACTCTTTTAACCGAATTTGCTGGGACCATGTGATTCTTACCGGCCCGCACCCCTGTTGTTTGGGGCAGCAACCTAGCCTGACCCCATGACATCTGTACGACCTCCCCATGGATGGATAGTTGATTCTTATGTAGGTCAAGTGATATGCCCTGTTCCCTAAGGAAGTCTATTCCCAATAGCATTTGATCCCCTATTGGAGCCACATAAATGTCCCAGGTGTATTCCTGTGTTCCAAGCCCCACCTGAAAAGGCCCAGCGACAAAACCGTTCATTTGAAGGCCTTTTCCTGCTGTGTTCATGACCACCTCTTTAAGGATCGGGGGGGGGGGCTCTTTCAAACTCTTATAGAGTTCCTCAGATATTAAGGTAACCTGAGCTGCGGTGTCCACAACGGCATCAACCTTTTGACCCTGGACTACAACAGGCACCCTATACATGGTCCCACTTGTTAACTGGCTTATTGTTACCATTTCTTTCTCCCCTCTGCTATAAGGTCCCCTTCCCGATCACTGTTTGGGCTGTCATCGCACAGTGTTTGTTCCCCTTCCTCCCCCTACTCTTCACCCTGTGACTCGGATTCAGACATTTCTGGTGTTGCTGGCCAGTTGGGCTCACTTTCAGATGCCCCCCATGGCCATGCTGTTTGTGCTGGATCCACATTGATTTGGGAGTGAGGGTCTGGTGGGTTAGTAGGAGGGAATTTCTCTACCCCTGGTTCTTGTGGAGGGGATTGTTCGACAAGTATGTCCTGTGTTGGCAGTTTCTGAAAATCAGTGACTTCCTTAAAAGAAGAGCCCTCTAGGAGGGCCAATTGGTCCCCATGGGCCATTCCTATTTGACTTATGGTACCCTACCTATGAAGGTATGACGGGAGGGGTGGTTTGTGGCTTATTACGAGGTCCTTTAAACTCCTTGGTTTAGGGGCCAGACTCAGAACTAATGGCTTCGGACCTAGTGGTGGAGCATATGGTATAATTGTCCCCACCCTTACCTCTGGTATCAGGGCTGACACTTTTAACCTCCTTTCTGGCGACACGACCATATATGGCTTGGTGGTTATGTTGATGCCACCTGATTTTGTCCACCGCCTCTTCAATACTCTTGGGTTTAGCATTGGAGGCCAACATTCCCCCCTCCTTGTCTGAGGCCCCCTGGCACAATCTCATGACCGCCTGTTGGTGCATGTGATCCTCGGGCAGGTGGCGAAAGGCTTTTGTGGCGAGGGATAGAACTCTGTCGGCCCAGTCCTCTAGGGTTTCGTCCCCACCTTGCCTGGCAATGTTAGATAGAACCTGAGCGGTTTCTGGCAACTCATTGAACCCAAACCGTTTGGCCAACTTACTCACTAAATCCTCGTAGGACAAATCATGCCTTCTTTCCACCAGCAAGGCATAAAACTCACTGGGCTTTCCATCTAAGGACCAGCACAATTGGTCCTTGCACTCCCCTTGAGACCATCAACTGACCTGGCACAATCGCGAGAACTTAGCGTAAAAAGCCTGACATTAGTCTTCCCATCGTACTTGAGACTCTTTTGTAGGATTGATGGTTTACCCCAGTTGGCCCCCTTGGCCTGTCTTGAAATCTCTGGGTATCCGACCCCGCCATAGCCTCCTGGTGGTCATATGCATCCCTACGAGAACTCCTTTGGTCTCCAGTTTCCCGTCTTGCTGCCCCTGGGTACCCCATACTACTGGCCTGTCTCGTCACTGGGGCCTCATTTTCGATATGGGCGTCTCTAAACCTTGGGCCCTCACTATCGGTATACCGGTTAGCTAAGCCCCCCCCCCCTCCCCCCCCCCCCCTTTCCCTGCCTGTGCTCCCTGCATTGCTATACCGGGATCGAGGTGTTTCCTCATACCTGTAGTCTCTGGTATTCTCATACTGAGGCATGGGCTTGTCCCCTCTGTCCTGGTAGACCCCGTCTTCCCTGAACCCCCGGTTAAGTTCCCCACCATCTTGCCAGTTTAGGTGCTGGGAGGGGGAAGGTGACCTAGCCGCCCTTGCCCTTGGCGTTTCTCCTGCTGGGGTGGGGTAGTCATGAGTGGTGTGCCCCCTGCCGCGTGCCTGTATTAGATTATCAATACGTTGCACTTTTTCTTAGTGCCCTATCTCCTCCTTGCAAAATTTGTCAGCCCCCCTGTTGGATGGCAAGGAGGTACTAAAATCCATGGCATCCATGGCTACTTCCGTAATTCTCATATATGGGACATACCGGAGATCCTCCAACTCTAGGATACCCTTATCCTCCCTCAATTCCCAAATCTTTGCTGCTATTATTGCCCCAACCCCTGGAATTGATAACAATTCCTCAAAAGTAGCTGAGTTTACATGCACTCTAGCCATGGTCACACGAAATACAACTATGGAATGAACTATTTAAAATTGGGCTTGTACCGGTGTCTCTACTGAAGGGCCTTTTTATTTGGTATTGTTTAAAACAATAAGTTTTATAACTGGGGATCAAGCTTATAAGTTGACCTCAGAGGTATTTTTATGCAAATGGGAATTAAGTGTATGTGTGTAATGTTTGAAAGTTAGACACTTACAATTTTTCTCCTTCTTTTTTTTATTTTAACTGCTGCTGCACTGTTGAAAAACACGTAGTGCAATGCGCGGCTGAATTGGATTCAGCGGTTACACAATTCCCTACAAGGGTTTTTCAGAACAAATATGGGGTTCACACAATTCCCTACAAGGGCTCCGCAGACGGTCAAGTGTGAAAAATCTCTAAAATTACAAATCCGTGACTGAAACTTAGCCACAAAAGTTTTTCCCTTCCCTGTGCTTTGACTTTCCCTCCCGAATTGACTAGACCAGCGAAACCGTGGGTAGCCAAAAACTAGAAATAGGTGACCTGTCAGGGATCCCCTAAAAAAATGGAGGTGCTGTTTGGGCCCCTTTTTGAAGTATTCCTCGCTTAAGAATTCAACTCCCCGAGTGAATTAGTACGAGCAATGCTCGCAGCGCCAATGTTTTTAGCTTTTTAGCAACTTACCTTGACTGAACTATGCTTCGGAACGATTACTAATTCGAATCAGCTGGACTTGTCAGCGTATATATGCTTTGGCTTCCAGTTTTCGATTGACAGAGTCGGAACGAGGCTCTCTGTCTTCCGGATCTGTCTCCTCCGCCAGTGGAGCTCCACCGACCCTGCCCCGAGGTACTACACTAATTTGAACCGCAATAACGTCATCACAACGAACGTTGCTATGTGACGCAGTCTAACGCTATACAGAACAATTAAAGAATTCAGCGGCTCACAAAGGGAAAATAATGATGAATATATATCCGTCGATCGCCGATTTACACATCAAATACTAAATTAATGGCTAAAAGTGTTATCAGAAATTATTGCATTCACGATAAAATCACTTTAATTTACTGCAAATAACAAAATCTTTCACGTATGCGGATAAAAATTTCAGTTTGGGTTTTTCAATATTTCTGTTGTCAACATACATAAAAAGTCACTAACATACAAACAGTATACATGAAAGTTAAAAACTTTATTGCAAAATTATTCTTAACCAAAAAAGAAAATTGTTAAGATGAAAAACGTGCATGTAAATGAATTACACAAAATGTTTAGAAACATAAACTGAATATTCATACTGCATGGTGAATGTTCAACAAATACTTAGTACTGGACAAATTTACATTAAGGCAGGTGTAATCCGTATTATATGTGTAATTCGTGTTTCAGACAGGGTATGTAAGGTGACATTCCCGGCTTAGGGTTTATATCGCACATATTTAATAGATAAATTAGTCCTGATAAAATGTGTCCGTGGGGACAAATATTACTAGTATAAAAAAGTCCATGGTTACAGAATTTACTTGTATATTTAGTCCGATGTCAGTAATGTATGTCCCCAGACTAATTTTCCTATGAATTCATGTCCATGACATCAATATTCCTATGTAAAAATTCCCATGTCCTTTATTTTGATAAGAAAATTTGTAATGAAAGAAATCATTTACATGTAAACAATGAAACTTGTAATTGTTATGTTTGACTGTTGTTTGACAGTAATGCATTAATCTTTTTATAAAATGTATGTGCCCAGACTAATTTTCCTAGGAAATCATGTACAGGTCATTAAGATTACTAGGTAAAAAACGTCCATGTCCTTTATTTTGATAAGAACATTTGTAATGAAAGAAATCATTTACATGTAAACAATGAAACTTGTAATTGTTATGTTTGACTGTTGTTTTAACAGTAATGCATTAATCTTTTTATAAAATGTATGTGCCCAGACTAATTTTCCTAGTAATTCATGGTCCAGTTCATTTTAAAACATTCCTAGGTAAAACAATATCCTAGTCCAATTAATTTTGACGTCTCACGTCGTAGGAAGGCGTCACAGAAACAAAATTGAAGCCTTTCAAGACGTCATGATTCTTTGGATTAAAAACGTCCATGTCCTTTAATTATATAGGAAATTGTAATGAAAGAAATAATTTACATGTAAACAATGCAATGTTTAATTGTTATATGTTTTTCAATTGTTTAACAGTTGTGCGTTAGATTATAAAATGATTATTAATATTTCAATATTTTGTTTAAATATGGGTGTTTTTTTGATAATTAAAGCGGACTTTTTTTCCTATGAAAATTGATATCATAGACTTCGATTAAAATTACAAATGTTCCTGTCTTAATTTTAATACTGATTCATTTAAAAAATGTCTTAAGCATTTTAAGAAATGAAATTTTAAAGGAACTTTTATCATAGGAAAAAACAAGAATACAGATATATAAAAACTTTCCTAGGAAAATAAGTGCCAGACATATTTTACTAGCTAGGGACTTATTTTCCAAGGAAAATTTATCCTGGGACTTAATTCCTAGTAAAAATTATGGTCACGGACTTGATTACCTAGGAAAAAAAGTCTGGCAGATATATTTTACTACCGGACAGAATTTACTGCTACACTTACATGTGTATTACCTTTTATTTATATTTACAGAGAGCATTGCCTACCATGTAAGGAACAAGACAATGAGAAACTAGCAGTTTATTGGTGTACCAACTGTTCAGAATTATTATGTGAAAATTGCTATGGTCATCATAAAGTTCTTAAAGCAACCCGAGACCATAAAATGCTTAGCATAGTCGATTACCATATAATAGGGAAAAGTATAGCAGAATCAGAATCCTACTGCCAAATGCACCCAACAAAGGGAATCAAGTTTTTCTGTGTTACTCACAATACTCCTTGCTGTAATACATGCAAAGAGGAGACACATGGTATAAAATGCAATGTGCAGTTAAAAGATGACATTTTGAAAATAACAGATGTCAGAGGAGATATGAACGCGATGATTGAAGCAATGACGAAAATGGTTGAAAATATGCGAACAGAGTTGCTTAAGGATCGCTGGAATGTCTCAGATTTGGAAAAGCAAAAAACTGTCTTTTATAATGAAATGAAAAAAGGTCGACAACTGGTAGAAAATTTTCTTGACAAGTTCGAAAACGATGTAAAAGAAAAGTTTGAATTAGCTTTCTCTGCCGCCAAAGAAACTCTGTGTGACAATAAAAGGAAAATAAAACACAAACTAAATGTTGTACAGAAAAGGACAGAAACTGCAGAAAAGATAAAAGAATCTGAATTTTCTGAGTTTAAAATGTTTCTTATCAAAACTAAATTTCATACAGACTATTTAGATGACCAAATACAAATTGAAAATCTCCTTAAAGGAATAAAAGATGGTCTTTTTGTTGCGCAACCAATTTATGATTTGAATCACCAGGCAAAACAAATAACCCTCAATAAAGGATTTGAAGTGGAAACTGTTGGTCAAAGCCATATCGGTAAAAAGCAACCAGAGTTTGATGATATTGAGTTCAGTTCATCAACAGTAGAAGCAGAAGAGGGTATTATAGACGAAAACGTCCACCTAGAAAAAAATATTCCATTAGATGGTGTCAAACACACCTCTGACAACATACTCACTGTGAAATCTGATATATACCAGCTAAAGGAACATTTCTTTATTGAACGTCGTAATAAAGATATTATGGTAAATTGCATAAGATTTCTTTCAAGTAATAAAATAGTTCTGACAGAAGATTCCGATTCCAGAATTCTGGTTTACCAGACAAATGGTTATAAGATAGGTGAGGTTGGTTTTGAAGAGGATCCAGATGAAATTGCTGTCATTGACGAAACTCAGGTTGCTGTGTCTGTTAAGAAGAAAGTTGTTTTTGTAGATACTGTCGAATTAGAGACTAAAATAAAGAAAAATCTCCGTGATTACATTTCAGGTCTGTCTTATGCAAATCACAAAATATTTGCATGTTTACAACATAAAGGCGTTCTTATAATGGGACTCTCTGGAAAAGTGCTTCGAACTATTCCATTTATTAAAGGAAGATTGTATATTTGTACAACAATTAATGAAATGATTTATTCTGTGAAATATGGAAATTCAAACATGTTCCAATGCTATGATATTAACAGAAACAAGAAAGAAGTGTACGCTTTCACATGTTCCAATCGTACGTTTGATGTTAATGGAATAACATGCGACGTAGACGGGAATACATATCTTGCCATCAGTGAAACTGAAATAATCAAAGTTGATACTGCAACAAGAGCAATTTCAACAATTTTAACGGCAAAGGAAGGTTTAAACAATCCTTATAATATTGATTGTTGTGATAATGGAAATAGACTCTTAACCATTGACAACGGAAGAGAAGTGAAAATTTTCCAAAAACTGAACAGTTAAACGCGCAAATCGGGTGGTTACACTGATGTTAAAAACTTTCTTTAATGATTATTAAAATAACTAAATCAACTTTTGAATTCACCGGTCTCAAATTGCCTTATTAGTTATTACTATCATTTCTTGCTTGTCTTCAATTGTAAACTCTTTTCATCTTAAACAGTGAGACATCATAAATCATAAATATTTTACGTATACTCTGAGGCTTTATTCTATAATTAGTTCACACTGCAGTTCTGATATTAAACTGTTTTATGAAAACAGATAAGACGTGCATTCAAAAACAAAAACGATTTTCTATCGGAATAAAAACGATTTGTTTTTTTCAAAATGTATGTTGTTCCTGGAATCCACTGATGCATGCTTTTGTAATTTTTCTATCAAATGACATACTTACCAAAACAATAAGCCTTTGCCTAAAAGACTATAATTTACTTTAATTTCGATAGTATATTTACTTTGTTTTCGAATTGCCTTTACATTTGTAACTTTGAAAATAATCAAAATCTGTATTTACACATCAAAATTGCAGTTTGTAGACATATTTATAATTATTCATAATTTGGTTACATATTCAAAATGTTATCATAATATTACTTAATACTAATGATAATTACATCAAACGGCGATATTGTGAATCTTAGTAAAGTTTCAAAAGCCTTTTTTAAAGACCTGTATGAATTAAATCAAAGAGAAATTTACACAACCAAACATCTAAATGTTAAAAGCGATAATTTTGAGAAAAAATTCAAACATGACCATTTTTTTAATGGGACTGGTAACAAGATCTCGTCATCGTGACCATTTGGTGTTATTCATACAATTGTGGAATATTCAGCTGATAGGACCAAATCAGAAGGGTTGGACTTGTTGGATGAATGCATTTATCTGTTATTTCTACAAATAATATTGTTCCATTGATTTATGTAATATAAAATGAACCACTTATGTGTAAGCATACACACACCGAAGACTTTGTGTATTTTCACCGTACACTAATACTTTGAAAAAATTAAAGCTTGATTAAACGTTTTTCATCTCTCAAAAAATAACTTAGATATTTTTTTTTTGTTGGTAAGATATTGCAACTGTTGAGGACAATACTACTCTACAGATTGGTACATAATTTATATATTGAAAAAAAAAGTGTGACGCAATATGAATGCTCCAATTATGTGCCTTCCTTGCATATTCTCTAGTTTATGTTATTTACTGTTTTTCCTTCTTCTCAATTAACAATATTGTAAAACCTTATATTGTATTTTTTCAATATTCAAATCGACAGAACATAAAGGTATTCATGATTGTGTAGTTCATTAGTTTTGTAGATAGAATAAATTAAACAATGTCTGAACAAATCTGTTCAGGCGATCCTCCAAGAAAAAATAACGCACGTTAGTATGTCTGTATTCAATAAAGGACATATCGAGTGTTTATAAATACCGTATTGATTTTTTTCATTCTATCTTGTATTGAATAGATGTTCCATCGGCGAGCATTTCGCCTTTAGCATTTTACTATTTCCGGTGACTGCACGGACTTATGTGTTGTTAAATCATGCTTGACGTCCGACCTTCTGTGAAAAACAGCTTTATTGTTATTCAGGTACATAAGGTATCATTTGAAAAAATCCCAGACCACTAAAAATATACCGATAGCTTACTCTTATTGCTTTGAAGCAAACAGTTTGATCAATTAGTCTTAAGAATCTGCTGATATCGGCTGAAGTGTCTACCCTACCATTAAGGTTATTAATAATGGAAACCTACGATAAAATTCTGTCAAATAAAAACATATTACTATATAATACCGTAATGTAAGACATATAAGAAAAACAAACACTGGTATAAGGTCCAATTATCCGAATGACTCATTATTGACCGAATCACTCACCACAAGTGGCCAGTTTTCTGAGAAAACCATCCACCTTTTGTGTGATTGGCGGGCTTAATGATGACAGTAAATGTTTGATTTCTTAGCCAGTTTTGTTCTATTGACATTACTTCATGGATTTGTTCTTAAATTTACAGTTGTGGCGTGTTCGTCAGTTTGCAAAGAATTTCGCTCAAACCGATGCTAGGGGCCGTCTTAAACTTGCAGTGAGTTGAGAGTTTTTTGCTCCTTGTTGAAGGTCATAGTGTGACTTTGAGATTAAGAACAGCATTATAAGCGTTGTTTCTTCAATGTTTGTGTTTCTTGCTGTTCATATACTGATTCTATGTTATGATCCTTTCTTTTCTATTATGAATGACATTAATACTAATACATTGATTTAATATCACTTTATGAGAGTATTTAGTAAATGGTTTAAAAGCTGTCTTTTCTAAATGATGGCATTGTTTCCTTATTCTCGAACATTAAAGTCCCAGGGTTTCCATTTGTCTTATAAACCATTTGAGAATTTTTCATGAAGGTAAACCTATTTGAGTCAAGCTAAAATATTTTTTCTAGCTCAGGTTTTTCCTTGGCTGATCTAAAAATAAGTTTCAAATACTGCTCAGAGGTGGCGCCAATCTCGTTCAAATGACCAATTATTCCCCTAATCCATACTGGTCAGTTTTGTTGTTAGAAATCTTTATATGTGTGCTTTGATCTTTTGTCTTTACATCGAAGAAAACTGAGTTCGTTATATCTGGGGTAACCAGCGAAACTTTAAGAGCAATCATACATAAATCCCTTAAAATAGTTAACTCCTTATTTGATTTATTTTTAGTATAACGTTGAATGTTCGCTTCAGAATCAATATCTTCTTTCTCAGCTCTAGCGTAATTGACGTTAAGAAGACTCTAGTTAAAGAGAGGCGAAAGATACCAAAGGGATGTTCAAACTCATATGTCAACAAACTGACAAGCTTTGGCAAACAAACTGTACTGCAAGTGTCCAATTTATATCGTAAAACTGCTGACTGAATAACCCTGTAAGAAGAACTTATTTCTATCAATTTTGTTAAATATAAGGCTACATGTATTTTTTTTCTGGCTAATTTTTCAACTTCTGTCAATGTAAATTTCTCCCACCTTTTACACGCATAAAAAAATACTTATTGTTCGCATTGCTTCGACTAGTAAAAACAATATCTTGTGTTCTAATTCCTCAAAAACAGTAAATCTTAAATCATCTGCATTACCCGGTTCTACGGACCGATACCTGTAGGAAAAATGAAATATAGTCAAATCCAGCATTTTGCCTGTACCAAGTCAGGAATAAGACAGTTGTTTTCCATTAGTTTGATGTGTTTGAGCTTTTGATTTTGCCATTTGATAAAAGACATCCTTGGAGTTCGGTACTTTTGATATTTTACTTTTTGAAATCTATTGATTTTTGTCGAGCCTTCGACTTTTGTCGAAAAAGCGAGACATAGCTATCCTACATTCCGTCGGCGTCGTCGGCGTCGTCGTCGTCGTCGGCGGCGGCGTCCACAAATATTCACTCTGTGGTTAAAGTTTTTCATATTTTAATAACTTTCTTAAACTATCCTGGATTTCTACCAAACTTGGACAGAAGCTTGTTTATGATCATAAGATTATATTCAAAAGTAAATTTTGTAATAAAAAAAAATCCATTTTTTCCATATTTTACTTATAAATGGACTTCGTTTTTCTGCCAGGAAACATTACATTCACTCTGTGGTTAAAGTTTTTGAAATTTTAATAACTTTCGTAAACTATCCTGGATTTCTACCAAACTTGGACAGAAGCTTGTTTATGATCAAAAGCTAGTATTTAGAAGGAAATTTTGATAAAATTTTGTTCCATTTTTTCCGTATTTTACTTATAAATGGACTTAGTTTTTCTTCCAGTCAACATTACATACAGTCTGCAGTTTAAGTTTTTAAAACATTTATTAGATTCATAAATTATCCTGGATTTTTACCAAACTTGGACAGAAGCTACTTACAATCAAAAGATAGTATAGAGAGGAATATTTTTATTAATTTTTTTCCCTCATTTTTGTTGAGCCTGCGATTAACAGCAAAAGTAGGCGAGACACTGGGTTCCGCGGAACCCTTACAAATTTTTCTCATATAAAATTTCTAGCGCTGCCTTCATTAATTACTGGGGAAGGTTATTTTTTACTATCTTTAATAAACGATTCAAATCAACAATATTATCATTCGTGGCGTGCACAAAAGGTCCATATGGTGCTGAAAGCCATACAGGAACAACTAAAGTGCTATCCGGTTTATCTTGTTTCATTATGTGTATATGATATTTACGGAATGTAAGCACAATATTCTAAAACAAAAATTTATTTTCGACCATAAAACTTGACTGCGCATTTGCTCTGCTTTTCTACGTGCATTTTGTAGTCTTTTCACATCTTTTTTTGCTACATTTCCACATTAAAAAAAAAGTCCTTTACATATTAAACCTGATTTAAGTGATAATTCATAATAAATGTTTTAAAAACTTAAACTGCAGACTGTATGTAATGTTGACTGGAAGAAAAACTAAGTCCATTTATAAGTAAAATACGGAAAAATGTATTTCACCAGAAAATTAGGGATCCTACATAATCCCTAATTATAAAAATTCACTGTCAGATATACAGCGTTGTATTTCTGAGATTGGTGGCACTATCCATTTGTTTTATTTTCCCCTAGGTGTATTGATAGTATCAATACTTAATCATGTTAATGTACCTGGACACCAGTGTTGAGAATTTAATATACAAAATCAATAATTTCTTCGTCTGTACCATATAGCCACCATATCCCATGCCTGAGACATCTATGTACTCTACGCAAGAGTACATTTCAACAATACTCAACTCTCTTTCATTCAATTTGTTCATTTTTCTCCTACCAGAAAACTATCTCATCAAGAGCTTTACTGCTTAATAAAACATTAGCATTCCCGCTTGCTATATATAAAATACATTCGTACATAATGCACGTATGTAAACTAACTGCAGGACCAACCGCCAATTGCATAGACAAAATCTTACCAACGATTAAAAGAATAAACATTGCGGAAGTCTATATTTCTCCACTATCTTCTGTATTACATATTCTGATTCCAGACAGGCGGAAGATACCAAAGGGATACTCAAACTCATAAGTTGAAGACAAACTGATTACGCCTTGTCAAAAACAACGGAAAATAACCGGGGGTGATTTCAGGTGCCTCGGATGCTCAATGTATCTAACATTTTGCGTGTGTCAAATTGCCATACAAAACTTAATTATACAACAGTTAAGCTACGTGTCCAATAACATTTATCTTCTGCTACCAAACACCCAGTAGCGTGCAGTACTTTCTGAACAAATTCCTCTAGTTTCATGATCTGTAATGGTCTCATCGGCCCCGCGTACACTATTGTCTAAAACATGATACATGCAACTGTCAAATATTTGCTTATAACCCTTACAACTTTTGTGAATATGTAACCAGCTGTAGATAAACCAAACGGTAAAACCTTACTTTTGTGTTGTTTCATTGTTTTTGTTCCAAGCAAAACATGAATATGTCATCTGTGGTTCGTATATTTTTGCATGGTTGTGAGCTGATCTCAAATCGCATGTGAAGCAGTGATCTCCATTCTTACACGTTGACTGGCTACGCTGGTATCTTCACATTTAAATCTGAATTTATGAAGATGCGGATTATTGTGTCTATAGTATAAAACTAGTTTTAATTTATATTTATTTTCAGCTACAGTCAACGGATTGATTACATTCGGTCTACAAGAAAATCTTTTAATGCATCCTAATCTAATAAACTGGAAATCTTGTTTTCTAAACATTCCAAGTTTTATAAAAAAAAAAAGTATATAAAAAAATATTGAACTCCAAGTCAAATTCAAAACGGGAAAGTCCATAAAAAACTGACAAAATCAAACGTCATCAATCAAAGGAACAAGTGAAAAACAACTGTCATTTTCCTGACTTGGTACAGGTATTTTCCGAAGAAAACGGTGGGTTAAACCTGGTCTAACGAAGATTTGTTTTTAAATATCTCATTTTGGCCATTTTGGTTCAGGGTAAAAAGGTATTGATAACTATGTTCTATAATGTAAATAACTGTCTTATTAGTAAATAATATTGCCAATAATCAACCTAAATTTTTAATTTCTAAGCAGGTGAAATTTTTAATGAAACTTTAACGTTTTTAATACAAACGCTGTTAGATAAATCATTAGTATTTAATATAGTACACATCCTATAAGGCTTTGCTTCATGTATGTATCAATCCTGTTCATTGTGTCCTGTTCTCTAATGGTCTGATAAAACACTCTCATAACATGCCTGCTTGATACACAACAGGAATGCTAAATGTACTCTGTTAACAGACTATGCTGAATTGAGAAGA